GATCTGGTTGCAAAATTATTTATTGCTATGTTAGCATACCTTGTTACCGATTATGCTCTCGGCTCTGAGCCATTGTGTGTTCAGTTACGCATTGTATCGTAGAGATGGTAGTAGTAATGCACTCGTGGTGTCATGGCGGATCTGGAGATTGCTCCAGACAAGCGATCTCTCTGGCTGCAGGGAAATGGGCGTAAGAAGACACGTCTTTTAGATTCAAATTCGAATGAGACTTACAAAATTTCTTTGTATCCAAAATGCTGCAGAACTATGGTGCGATAACTCAAGCTCTTATTGGGACGCTTTTTACATGGGGACTGACAGCCGCAGGGGCTGGTATGGTTGTAATGTTTAAGGGTACACAGGTAAGAATTGTTATTCACATTAGCATGTGATTTGTTTTATGACCTTTCATTATCAGCGTAATTACCTGAGTATTGCAACATCCTAAATAACCATACTAACATGCATATTAGAGGGCAGTAGAATTTGTTTTATAAATTTATGTATATGAAATTTTGCAAGAAGAAAATAATTAAACATTGCTGCCTATTGTTAGATGAATCTTGAAATCAGAATGATTTTTATGCATGTAGAAATCATGTAAATAGAATTGCTTATGTTACTAAACGAAGGGCTAATCTTGAATTACAAATTTAATTTGAAAAAATATGATTGCTTGCATTAGATTTGATAGTTGACAGTATTTACTATGTATCAGCATACATTTGATACGGTTTGTTCTTAAACTCTGAAGAAATTGAGAGGATACAAGAATTAATCGTCATTTTCATTTTGTATAATGTTTTGGACATGGATAAATATGCAACATGTTTACCATGTCACAATAGATTTTATAACATTGTGTACAATTGTAATTGCAATATTTCATAAATATAGCAAGTTTGTTGAAAAGTTGATCTATGGTTCATTATCTGCATTATAATTGCATTAGTTTTAATATGAAACGGAAAGGAAGCACATAGAGTGTCAACTTAATTTGTTTTATCTATAATTTGTAATATGTTAGCATTATATTTATTAAGATTTAATACATGTTCTTGTTTTAGTAATCAACACTGTTAACAACTGTGGCCACAATCTGATTATGCTGCGATCTACAAAGCTTACTTATTCAACTGTAACATTACAGCATAATATCATAAGTTTACGATAATAAATTACAGTTACATATGAACCGTGCAACGGTTCTTCTCCGTGAAGTTCTTTGGAGTCCCCCCNCCCCCCCCCCGAAACGCCAGGAGGCGAGCCATTCCTCCTCCTTTCCACTTAAAGTCTTAGCTGACGTCAGGTCAGCTGACCTTGTCCCCCCCCTCCTGGACGCAATGCGAGGTTTCCTGCTTGCTTAGAACGAATGCATCGTTCTCTCTCCCCGTTAGCTTCAGCAAGGTAACATCGCTGCTTCCAAAATTAGTTTCGTTTATGTTGAATTGATCTTGTGAAATTCTGTTTCGGCCTGTGCAGTGTCTGAAGGGGGAAGAGTGCCCTCACGACGTGATCAAGGTTGCATCAAGTCG